GCTTCCTTTAGTGTACTGATGCAGGTTGTAATTGAATTTTTGCTCCACATCGTAATGATTCAGCCTTTATAGTAGAATTCTGTTGATAAAGATAAGATGCCAGTTTGCTTAATAATACAGATCCAGCTTTTTCATATTCTTAAAAATTTTAATACCAGCAAATAGTTGTCTATATACAGTATTTTTTTTCTCGAATAATAATTTTATTACTTGATTTTCTTTGACAATAAAGGTTTTGGTTAGCTATATATTGGTCTTTGATATTTTCTGACTGATTTAAGGCACTTTTATTACTGTTAAGATCCACATATAAAACTACATTAAGCTATCAATATTCATATTATTGAGTGAAAAAATTTTTTGAAGTGAAGCAGGTAATCAGCAAAATTGAACGAATCATATTGTATTTTTATTATTTAATTCTATCTTTTTTTTTCATTTATATGAAATATAATGCGAAGTGTGAAGCAGAATATGAAGTATAATATGAAGTGAAATATAAAGCGAAATATAAAGTAAAATATAAAGTAAAATATAAAGTATAATATGAAGTGAGCGAAATATAAAGCAAAATACGAAGTAAAGTGAAATATGAAGCAAAATATAAAATTAAGCAAAATATGAAGCAAAATACGAAATAAAGCGAAATATGAAGCAAAATACGAAACAAAATATAAAACAAAATACAAAGTGAAATATGAAGTGAAATATATGAAGCAAAATATGAAACGAAATATGAAATGAATTAATAAAATAACAATAATTACTCTGATGTTTATTTAATTAATCGATGGTATCATTAATGATTGTCGGATCATTTGGTTTGATTTCTGGGCAACCACATAATTGCCGAAACATTTGCATTAATATATTTATATTACATTTTATTATTAGTTATTACTGATTTGATTTATGATTAACTATTAAGGATTTGAGATCAATTTTTTGCTTGATTGTGCCGAGTACTATTTTAGATATTGCTCAATATTGTGCAATAATTTGAAATATTGCACAAATATTACAATAAGCTATCTTAGCGAATATTGGGCAGATTTTGATGATTTAACTATTATTATAGCCAGAATAAGGTGCTGAACAAAGCTACTTATTGAAAGTTTGCAAATTTTCTTAATAAAATTTGCATCTATTCACACTTTTTAAAATCTTGTGCAATATTGTGCGTTAATCATAAATCTTATATAATATTACAGTTTTAAAATTTGCTAATATAGAATAAACCTTCTAGTTTGGATATCAAAAATCCTGAAAAGTCTGTTGGAAGAAGAAACTTGATCCCAAGAAAAACCACTCAAGTTATGCCCACTTCTTGATATTTCATATCTTTCAAGCTTTGTTGACAACAATCTATTCAGAGGTAAATTCAGTTCCCAGAATTTATTTCTTCTAGTTTGGATACCAAAGATCTTGAGGAGTCCACTGAACACAAAAGGCTTGACCCCAAGAAAAACCGCCCAAATTATGCCTGCTCCTCGGTGTTTCATGTCTACAGGCTTCATTGACAACTGCTTACTCAAAGACAGGACTGTAGATAGTATAAATCTTGGACCTTCCTATAGCATTTTTCTGTAGTTTGGTTTTTTTGTTGTTATTTGTATGAGTATCTTGCAATCTGTTGATCAGAATCGAATATTTTTTACATTATCGGTCAAAATTTTTTTACCGATGACCAATCAATGCTTGAAACTCATCGATTCCAATCTCTACTGAATCAAAACTTATAATGGCTATTTCAACCCCGATTTCTTTGATTATATATGAACTTGCTGAACTCGATCTTATTAGTAGGGTTGTTAACGGCTTTTTTGAGACCTACTCTAGCCGCATAATGGAGCTGAGCTGACCCAAGCCAATTGAGCTGTAGCTTGAATCATAATCAAGCTATAGCTTAAAGTCATAGCTTGAGCTGTGGCTTGAGCCATGACTCATAATTGATACGTGATTAATATCACTTTCCAGCTATTAAAACTACGGCTTAAGCCATGGTTACTAAAGCCACTGTTTGAGCTATGACTCAAGTTATGACTCGAACCACAGTCCCAATAGTCATAGCTCAAGCTGAAGCCATAGTTTTTAGGAGCCAAGCCAAGCCATCCAAGCCGATAACAACCCTACCTATTAGTCCAGTTATTGAGCCGCCCCCATATGAACGTTCTGACAACTATAGATGAAAAATCGAAAAGACCTATCGACAACTAAGACAAGCTACGACCAATGGACAACGGATAAAATCTCTACTGTCAGCTTATTATTTGGGATATCTTTTGGAAGAAAAGGCCAAAACTCCTGCGCATAAAACTTTGTATAGTAATATATTAACCAGATATCATAAGGAAGTCTCGATTAGAACATATTATATTTTCAGGAGATTTGGTGTCGAATCTATATATCAAACAAAGCTCTTAAGTTAGAAACGATCTATCGACTCTCGTTCCGAGATTACCAAACTTTAATCAATTGATTTTTCCTGGCATTATTCTTATCAAAAATTCTACTAATTTTGCTATATAATACAACAATATGGACAATGTTCGTGGAATATTTCAACAGGCCCTGTTATTCAACTACTTATTCGCGGAGCTCATAATTAAGCGGGGAGATACTGTACGAAATCAAACATAAAATACATAAAAAAATTTTTTTTTATTTTACAAGCCCTAATCACTCAACCGAATAATTATAACAATAGTAATGATGATAACAAGGTAATGACAACAACAGTAACAATAGCAATAATATATAAGATACTAAACAAAATAAGTAAAGAACTTCGCTAAAGATCTTTGAGATCAAATATATCAAACATGTCAAAACTATTTAGTGTTAAGCGTAGCACCATAATTGTTAACGGCGGGAGTGGTAACATTAACAACAGACCCATCTATAATCGGCGTGTTTTGATAGGAGGTTCCTACAGCCTCAACGGTAACGTTTTGTTCGTTTGGATCCACTTCATCATCAACAGCCTTTTGTTCTTCAATGAGAACCTTTTCAAAAACAAACATTTACAAATTAATAAATTGAATATAATAGAATTAAATTATATAACGTACATCGGCAGTCCATAAAGCGGCACCAACGATAGTAGTCCAAAAGAAGACGAAATTTGCCACAGGGATCAATTGGAGAGCCATTCCAACGGTACCGAATGAGATATAATCATACCAATTTTTGAAAGCAAATTCTCTAGATGTTTTTACGTCCCATTCTCTAATCATCATGTGGTAATGAACTTGGTGACCCCAAGCTAATGTCCACCCATTAACGATGCAGTATAAAACCGTCCCGGCAATTGGAATAGCATTAATTGGTATGGAGATGATGAGGGTGAATACCTAATAAAAGAAATAAACTTAATTGCAATCTAGAAAATTTAATAGATCAAAACGAAAGTTAAAAAATACTAACCTGAATAAATGTCAATTCAATTCCAAATCCAATGCCACGAAATAATAAAACGAACTCGTTAACATGTCTAGGTCTATCCAACAAATGACCTAATCCTTTTAACCTCAAAACATTGTCAAACAATTTATCTTGCCAAGATGGAGTAGCAACAAGATAAAATATAA